TTGCCATGGCAACGGGGGCGGGGCTAAACCACAGCATCCCGTTGCCATGGCAACAAGGGTGGGGGCTGCCCAAAGCATCCCCGCTACCATGGCAACCAGGAGGGCTCCACGGGAGCATCCCGCTGTTGGAGCAACAGAGATGGGGCCTGCCTGGAGCATCCCGGTTGCCATGGCAACAGGGGCGTGTCCTAATGGGAGGGCGTTCCCGCTGCCATGGCAACAGGGGCGGAGCAATCCCGGAGTGTCCCCGCTGCCATGGCAACGGGTGGCCATGGGGGGCGATGTGGAGGTCCCGGGGGGGTGGGGATGGGATTTGGGGGTCCTGAGCAGTTGGGTCCCAGGGGGGTCCTGAGCAAAGGGGGGCCCAGGAGCACAGGGAGGGAGTCCCGAGCTCTGGGGAAACCCTGAGGGAGCACATGAAAGGGGGGCTCTGTGGCTGCTGAGACCACGGAAAGGGGAGCTTTGGGCAAGGGGGGACTCGGGGGGGGGGATTGGGGCAGGTCAAGGAGGGCCACAGTCAGTGGGGGACCCTGAGACCCTCCAGCAAGGAGGACCCTGAGCAAGGGGGGGTCCCTCTGGGAGGGTGGAGCGCCCCAAGAGGGTCCTGTGGGGGACCTCGACATGGCGGAGGGCTGGAGATCCCACAGGGGTGGGATATGGACACCCCACAGGGGATATGGACACTTCACAGGGGATATGGACAGAATGGATGGAATATGGACACCCCACAGGGGATATGGACACCAGGGATGGGACATGGACACCGAGGATGCGATTTGGACACCAGAGATCGGATGTGGACACAGCGGATGGGATATGGGCATCACAGATGGGATATGGACACAGGGGATGGGATATGGACACAATGGATGGAATATGGACACCCCACGTGGGATATGGACACCAGGGATGGGACATGGACACTGAGGATGAGATATGGACCCCAGGGCTGGAGTCTGATGGGACCTGGATGCTGGGGATGGGATACAGACCCCAGGGATGTACCACAGACTCCAGCCCTGGGGTTGTGCCTCAGTTTCCCCCCCCGTCCCTCCCCTGGGCAGACCAGCTGTAAAACAGGGGGTCGGGGTTTCACCCCCCCTTTCTCAGCCTGAAAACACGTTTATTTTTGCCCAAACTGAGCCAAATTCCGCTGTCGGACCCCAACCCCTTCCCAGAACCTCCCCGGCAGCACTGGAGCGGAGAAGCAAACCAGGAATTGGGGGGTGGTGACGCCCCTTTGCCCCCCTCCCCCCCCGTTTCCTCCCCGCCGTGGGGGTGTTTCAGGGCGGGGACGTTTCGCTCCTGGAGCCGCAGCCTCACCCTGACCCTCTGCTGTGCCCAGCCACGGCCCCCTCATCCCAGTCACGTTCCCCCCCTATTTCCCCCATCCCAGCCATGTCCCCCTCCCTGGCCC